TTCTCTGTGACATTTTTTGCCCTGGTTAAATTAAAATTCTGGTAATCTACCAAAAGATCCCTGGATAACAATTACAATTAAGAAAACGATTTTATTATAACACAGATTAGACTATAAATAAAAAATACTGCTTTTATTTTTAAAGACTTTCATTTTATTACTGTCTTTAAATTTTCAAAGAATATATTCGTAAGTATTACTATTATTTTGAACATGCTTAAACATGACTCACAGTAATGAAAAATTTTTTTCCCAGAAAGATGTTCATGCAACTGAATGTTGGTAAACAGGCAGTACACAGTTCATGGATTATCAGTAGTAACTTTTACAGATTTGACCAAAACTGCCTCCTTCACCTGCTTCCTGACACGCTGCACACATCACCTCAACCAATTTCATGTATATGTAGTATTTCATGAAAACATGTCAAAACAATTCACAAATCGGACAGTACCCGCAGACAGACATTGCATATGAAGGAAGAAAACAAACAAGAACTCCTCCTTGGTATGCTAAACCATCGGAAACCTTCTCTACCACATGGGCCGAGAATATATTCATGGAAGCAGGTAGTAAGTTTTATATTTATTCCATGAGCCATCATCCATCACAAATACCTATAATTTTGGATCAACTATTAATAACTGGTTTAAATTCCCAAGCTTACACTTAACTGCTTTGCCATTTAACTTCCTTACCAAGAGTATAAAATGCCACTGCTGTCAGAGATTAAATTATAAATTATAAAGGTCTCAAGAATTAAAAATGATATCTCAAGACTTTTAAATTAATTTTCTTCTGGATATAATTCAGGATCATTACCTCCAACTCTCCCCTCCCTTCTCTGCCTGTCTTCTGTCCTCCTAAAATGCTAATGAGAAATGAGATGCTTTATACTCTGGGTAACATATGTAAGTTCTACTCTCAAAGGCGCTAGAAAGGGGTGGGGAGGTATAATTGACCAACTCCAAATAAATGTACTACCACTCAGTCAAGCCAAGAAAGCATGACCTAAATTTTGGATGGATCGGCCCAGCACCCTCAACTCTGACGATGATTTGGAAACTAAAATATAGAAAGCAAGTGATAAGAAAGTAGTTGACATTAGGAAAGATACTAGGCAGAAAGAGAAGCACCAAGCCACGGCCTCAGTTATATCTTGGGAAATGTTTTCTTTTTTTAATGGGATGTATTTGTACAGACAGCTGACTAAGTGGTGCTGGACACATTTAGGATGAATTTAAAATACCCCCTGGGTACTACATTTAGTTGTTTTTTTCTCACAACAAAAAAGACGACATAAAGCAATAGGTGTTTGAGCTGAAATTGAATTTCAGAACCTCAGAGGTGGCTCAAAACCTGAGGGCCTCTTGTGGGAAACTTGTCTTTGACCTAGCCAGAACAGGAATTCCCGAGGTTTATCCTGCCCTTACTGTCCCAAGCATAAGATGGATTCACTCAGCCTAAAAGTGAAAGTATGTCATAAAAATACCTCAAAAGAAGGAACTATTTTTAAACTGTGGTACCTACTAATGATTGAGAGCCGCAATCTTCAGTTAAAAGTAACCCAGCGTATGTTAGGTCTGAGTCCTTTTAAATGGCATCAAGAGCATATATAGGACACAAAACCAAATATAAGAGTGCTTGCCTTAAAATGGATCCGCCATCACACTCGTCAAAAGCAAACGAGATGAACAGACAGATTGGAAAATGAGGTTCTCTCATTTTCGCAGTTTAGAACGTCTGATCCAACCCTAACTCTGAGGTCTGACACTAGAGATGCTATCTACGCTGCTGGGTAACAAACAGCATAGCCCACCACTGCAGGGTCCTTCTTGCTGGATCCCAGAGTTCAGTGAGGCTTCCATTTGAATTCAGAAGCCAAATAACCCTAACCCCACACGCTCCTTCCCTTCTGATACGTGGCTGATCAAGCTAACACAAATTTCACACAACAGTATGCATTTGAATTTTAATTCTGCTAACAGATTCTGCTCACAGTACAACACACAGCTGCCTTATAAACCCTACCAATGGATGGACAAAAGCAGGGCATAGGTGTTCTGCTTATCAAACGTTTGGCTTGCAGATTAGTGCTATCTATGCCATAAGCGGATCACCAACATTCAAAGACTAGAAAGGCAATGTATTTAATGCTAATGATACGTTATACTCTAAGATTATATTATTGAGGGTTTTTAATATTATTATTATTTTCTTTCTTTTGCAAGTAAAGTAGAAACAGCATTGTGTGAATTGTGTTCCCTGATACCGGGCACACAGGAGATACTAGGTACTTGTTGAAAAGTGAACAGTAAAATAAACCTCATTTAGTCTTTTTGTCTGAAGATACGTGGATTATTATGTATGTATGTATACATGTATTATGTATGTATATATGTATGTGTATAAGCACGCACATTAATAAAGTTCTGATTAACAGACTGTTAGATAATGAAGTTTATGGCATTCTCACTTTAAATAGTCAAAACACTGACTGAGCATCTAATTCACTCAGTTGCATGAAAAAGCAAATGAAATGAAGCATCTGACTATTTTCTCACGATGAAACCCAGAACCTCCCCTGTAAAAGAAGTCAGACTAAAAAGCCTACCTCTGCTCTTCAGCTCTGAACAGCTGTCTCTTTTCCTAGCACGCTCAAGTCACCGGCAGGGTAGATAAGCAGTCCCACCCAGAGGTTATAGATGAGACCTGGGCCCACAGAGCCAACAACTGGAAAGGATTTAGATAGCAACAGTAGCCTTCAGTACCAATGTCCCCATTACATAACTTTCCTTTCAGGGAAAATCTGTGAAAAATATCCCTAAAATGTACTCAGATACAACTTACCATGGTATCAAACAGCATCACCGGTGGTGAGGCAAGCGGGCCCCTGCAGTGCTCAGTGCTACACCTCACTCTTTCTTGCCAAAAAATGTTGCACTTGGTCTCAATAAGCTACTGCCTGAACTTCTGATTATAGGAAATTTGGGGCAGAGGTTTAAAAGACAACATCAGGGAAAAACAATCAGACAAGTCTTGAATTTGGGAGAAGTTGAGCTGGTGGTTTGTTTTGTTTTATTTTTTTGAGCTGATGTTTTAAGGCAGCTGATGCCAAGGGAAAGGAGGAGAAAAAAGAAGAGAAGAAAGACGAGAGACAGAGAAAAGTTTCAGTATAATGATCAAATATAATACATGATTCTATGCCACAGCCATTCTTGTTTTAAGAAGCTATAAACAGTATCTTTTGAACAACTGGGAAAATTTAATACATAGACTGGGTATTAGATGCTATTAGGATATCAACGCTACTCTGGTAGGTGAGAATATGGTGCTAGGAGTACCTAGCAGGACCGTATTTTCTTTAGATATGTGCTGAATATTTAGCACACAATGCCTTGGCATCTGTCATTTGCATTAAAGCAAAAAGCAAAAAAGAAAACCACAAACATAAAGCGATACGCTTCATGCTAACAACTGCTGAATGGGGCCAGGGCAGGGGGTTGAATGGCTACCTGTTGTACTATTCTTTTTTATTTTGTTTGAAAATAGTTTAGTACATCTGTTTAAATGCTCCTAGGCACAGTTTCTCAACAACTTCCATCACAGCACTGAGGGCTCCTCATTAAAATAAATTCTCTAATATTGCCACAAGCCGTCTTCTATCAGCAACTTGAGTAAGTCATCCCGCACAAAAGTGGCTCTAATGACACACATCACAGGTAGGAATCATTTTCATTCTTAAACCAGATTCCCAAATTCTCCTTTTGAAAAAGGCTTTTCAGTTTACCTTTTAAATTGAAAGACTCAAAAAAATGGCTTATTTGCCTTCGTCCCTTCTAATTGACAGAAAAACCTCTCCACACACACCTCATGCAAACCGACTTTGGCTTTTCCTTCCTAAAACTGGCTTTTGTCTCTGAACTCTACAGAGCGGCTGGAGCTCTTTAATATTTTCTAAGAGGAACATTTCAAACAAGTAACCCTGCAATTTATTCACCACTGCCAAGAATAAAAGTAACAGGTCCCACCACCGTGGCCTTCCAACGCTTTGCCCGACTTTTAAGGCAAAGCACCATTCCTTCACCTGCAGGCTGGCACCCTGAATGCATCCGTCATTTGTTTGGCTCTAGAGGAAACGATTTGATTACACAAAATTCTCTTTAGATCAAGTTTAAAATCTTAGCCACACTGGGACAAGTGACGAAGCCTGCCAGCTCGACAGGTTAACTCTTGCACGTACTGAGCCAAGGACAAAGATAAGGAGCAACCACAGGTTAAAATCAGAAGCAAAGTGGGCCTGAAAAGGCACAAGCATGAAAGATGCAAGGCTTCACTGGGCCTTTACAAGCGCTCCACTCGCCACGACTGTGCAGAAGATGCTTTCTCCCTGATGCTCCGTGTAAATGAGCGCAGCCCCCTAAGGGATGCAGGTAAACATCAGTAACTTGCAAAAACCAACCAGGCCCAGTTGCATTCATCCACTGCTGTGCCAGCTCTGCAGTCGGAAGTTGGCGAGTAACCAGATATTATTATGTACCTCCATTTCCCATACCTTATTATAGGGCACATCATTTTTAAAAGCATTTAAATGAAGCAGATGTTAACCCCATTCATTCCACTTTCCTGGGGGAATGTGTCAATAATGAATTTTAAAATGCAAAAGAAAATGTCAAAGTATTTTGTTCCCTGGTTAAGAATACATCTGTGGAATAGGAAGAGAGAAAATACAGAAAACACTCTATGGTCATTCAAGAAATAATTATAAGGTATGTCAAACTACAGAAAATTGAGAAAGCACTAAATTAAAAAAAAAAAAGATGTCTTGTGTCAAAATGGCTTTTCACTCACTCATTTCAAAAACAAGTTTTGAAAATTAAATTCCATCTACCAGCTCAGAAGGGAACACATTAAGGCTTGACTGTAATGCCATTACCCATGTGGCAGCTCCCTTTCTCATCTGAAACTGCATTAATTGACAAAGAAGCCTTGGGGCTCACCTCCCATAGTGCCTTGAAGTCCTTCTGCTCAATGCGGAGCAGTTCACTGCTCTCCCTGGTAACGATGGTGGCATGGCGGGGCGTGTTGTCCAGAATGGACTCTCCAAAGGCTGTCCCAATCCCCAGGGTACAGATGGTCACCGCATCCTGAGAATCAAAAAACAAAACAAAAAACCAGACCTTACAAAACTAAACATTTAATCCGTGAACTCTCTTTTCCTTGAAGTTTAATTTGTACAAATAAAATACCTGATATAATTATACAACTCGACACATGTTGGCTACTACATACACTGGTGTAATCAACACTCAAGCCAAGGTGAAAATATTTCTTCTACCTAACCCAAAAGATCCCTTTTGTAACTCCTTTCTAGTCAAGACTCTCCTAGAGGAAATCGCTGTCCTGATGTCTGTCACCTTACAGGGGTTTTGCCCAGTTCAGAACTTTATGTAAATGGAGACAGACCACATTCTTATGCATGGCTGGCTCCTTTGACACAGTATGAAATCTACTAAAGATGGACTCGGTTATAATATTTAAACAGGAAACTGGAATAGGGATGCAACTATGTCTGTCTCTCTGGAAGAAATGAGGAAACTGACTGTCTGAGTGGTGGATTCACAGGTCCCCAGTTTGCACAGGAAATAAGTGGTAACGTGAGATTGTAACCAAGTCTGACAATGGATTCCAAGCTTTTGGTATCATGCTGCCTCCCAGAGCCACAACATAGTAAAGACAGCATCTGATGAAGTACAGTGCAGCCAGTTTATAAAATGCCATGAGTCAAAGATTTAAAAGTTTCTAAAGGAGTGCTATAAAAGTAATTTTTTCTCTATATGCAACATTGGCAATAACATTTGGATTTAATCCTAGTTTCAAATAATGCAAATAGCCACTTGAAATCACCTGGACATTAATTTTGCGAGGTATTATAAACTAAGGGAGATCCACAAGGGAAATCCTCTGAGTTAGAAGACAGTTTCCTTTCATGAATCCACTATATGGCAATAGGCAAATGCTATTAAGATCAAGTTAGTGACTCTGTAATCACATTACCAAGACAAATGTCCACAAGAATTCAGTGTTTTGAACCAGAGTAAATTGTTCCTGCACATCTATTATCATATAAAATTATGTTCAGAAAAATAAAATCAGCATTTCAGAAAAGAATAAAAGGGAAAATTTTAAGAACAGCATGCAAACACACTTTGTAGAAAGACAATTGCAAACAAATTCACTCGAAAAATATACCCAGAACTAAAACAGCAATATGCTGTGGGTTTGGTAGCTTTGAATAATTTTCGAATTCTAGTAAAAACACAATATAGATTATGATAAATCACAGCCTTTCACAAACTCTAGAATATCAGGTTTTTTGGAGGCTTTATTAGACTATTCCATTTTTTTTATCACCTGAACATTTCCTGAAATAATTCTGTTGGCTAATTTGTACTTTTCCAGTATTAAATTCTATTTTAAAACTTGAGAAAGATGCACCTTAAGTATTACTGCCGTCATGATCCATGCAGGTTAGATCCCTACGGTTACGTGCTGGGTATAATGCAAAGGAACTACGAAGGCAGAAGCTATTCATTATAGATTAACCAGTCCTCTCCCTTTTTTACCTCTCATCCCTGATGCAAGTAGCTTGCCACCATGTGATACACACAGAAAGACACGCTGCGACACTCACATAAGCCTTTCTTATCAGCGAATGGCTCTTGCGGTAAAGACAAAGTACTGAATTTATTCTCAGATTTTTTGCTGGGTATTTCAATTTACTCAGAGTTTATCACCTATAACAAAAATCATTCATGCTCTGCTCTGAGTATTTTACAGGGTTCCAGCCTCCTCTGTGAGAAGCCTGGGCGAGTGGATACTCAGAAATGGTCATTTGTGTTAGCACCCACTTCATTTCCAGAAACACTCTCTCCTACCAGACCAAATGTGGGCTCTGTGCTCACTCTGTCTTCTCCATCACACCTGATCCACTCAAATTCAAGGACAAGGGGTCCCACACCACGAGATAACGATCCAGGTTGTGGCACCATGGCAGCACCTGCTTGGCATGCACAAGGCCTGGGTCCCATCCCTAGCAGGGGGCATGGAAAAGGCAAGATCTTGGAATTAAGGCTGGGAAACTTTATCCAAAAGAAGTATAATTTGTAAGTTCAATACTCTCACATCTTAGAATCAGAGGACAAGTTTATTTAGAAGTCAGCATGGATGTGGGAGGTATGTGTTGAACACTACGGTAACTGGGCACAGGAAGTAGAGATTGCCGAGAAACACTTTTGCTCTAAAGACGAACTGCTGTCTTTGTAGTCCATGGATGCTCTGCCTTATTTGCACTGGAACCCTAGGCAGGGTCTTGCGTATGCTTACAAAGAAATTATCAATAAAGAAATACACATCCAAACGTTCTCTTATTCAGTAGAACTGATGCTATGTTGCTTGGTATCCAGCTGAAAGGTGGGGCAAATCCAACCAGGCAGGATGTGAATCTGGGTGAAAAAGCAAAGCACTCTCCCTGCATCCACATGAACAGAACCAGAGCCTCCAGTTCCAACTTCCAAGCCTCAACTGTGCCTAGGCTTGACGCAGGCCTGTGTCTGCCATGGAGAAGCTCTGTTTGTGAAGGTAACCATGTTATTCCTCCTAAGCCCACACAGACTCTAGTGGTCCGCCAGTCTCGATGCCTATTTAATGGGGACTCTTTAGAAACACGTTTTCATCTTGTACTCTTTGCAGGTTCACACTGAGAGAGGCCTTCTGAGAGAAAAGGCTTTCAGTGACATAGAGACTAGGAAAGCAATCAGCACCTACGCACTGAACACGGCCCAGCAGTGAAGGGGGAGTCCTGATTTGTGTAAGATGGCAATTTATGTTGAGGACTTTCAGATGGGAAATGAAATGTAAAAAATGTAAATGTCTTCAAAATATGAAGATGGTTTAGCAGATGCTGCTGGAATCTTGACAGGAACCACGCCCCCACACACCTCAAAAATCAATGTAGCTTCCTGGACAGACCATGCCCACCTCCAGAATCCCACCTGGAACACCTGGATCATCACCGCCTGGAGGGGTGTCCTAGGCAGTGGATGCCTTTCCAGTGCATCCTCCTGCAAAGAGGAATGAGAGTGGGAGGACAAATCTCACAGCTCCCTGACCCCGCTCGGCTCCTCCTGAGTCCCCCAGGCAGCGACCCCAGCTGCCCACAAAGAGGACTGTCTTAGAAATGTGCTTTTGCTGGCTTTCTTTCCATCCCTTCCTCTCTCAGTTCTCCCACACTCTTGCCACGCTCCCGGGCATCATCTTCAAACAACTACTTGCTGCCAACTCATTGTCTCCAGGTCTGCTTCTGGAGAAACCTTAAACAAGAGCCCAGAGTAGCCGAGATGGCTGGGAGTCCTCGACCGCACTGAGAGCTTAGGGAAAGGCTTGGACTTTCTCCAGCTTTCTGCTCAGGGGAAGTTCTGGGCCAGCCAGCACTCCTCAACAGACTTCTGTAACCGGGATAGAGACAGGGGGATCACTCCCTGCTTGGCTCTGACACAGAGTGAAGGGCAGGATCCTTTAGGCGGCACACAATGGTAAGACTTCACTGTGTCAGTAAACCAAGTTTTACCAACACCATTTCTACTATGTAACTAGGGTTCTCAAAAAATTACTTCTAGCACGTCACTGACACGTCATTTGTTTTCTTCCTCCTGTCTAATCCACCTCTCTCTGGGCTCTCTGTTCACTTGATCACGCCTCCTCCCCCCTCACAACACAAACCTCCCCCCTTAATTACCTGCTGACTGTCCATCATAGTAGCCTGCTGGGCCGCAGTCGGCATGGGGCCTGCATGCGTATGAGCAGAGCTGTGCACACACTTGGCTTTTATGCTTCACAACAGTTAAGTGAGATCGTGTCTTTAAAGTGCTTTGCACAGTATCTGACTCAAAACAAATGCTTAACGAATTGTGGGTATCTTACTGCCAGTACAGGTTGAGTATCCCTTTCATAAAATGCTTCTGACCCAAAGTATTCCAGATTTCCCATTTTTTTTAGGTTTTAGTCTATTTATATACACATCATGAGATACACCTTGGGAATAAAACCCAAGTCTAAACACAAAATTCATCTGCATTTCACATACATCTTATGTAAACAGTCTAAAAATAATCTTATGCAGTATTTTTAGTAATACTGTGCATTAAACTTTGTGCCACACTTGGACTACAACCTGTCACATGAGGCAGAATCCTCCACCTATGTCATCTGTTGAGGATTTGGGGTTTTGCAGTTAGGGATGTTCGACCTATAGGTTTTGGGGGGTAAGGATATTCAACAATCCAACAACACCACTATTACTATTGCTATTTTATAAATTTGGCTCAAAAAGGACGAGTAACTTGTCCAAGACCTGCTCAGTAAGAGGAAGAGCTAAAACAAGAAATAGTCAGTCTCATTTCTTACCCAGCTATTGCTCAGATGATTATATGAAGTGACGTACCTCTTGCCAAAAGTAAGCAGGAGCACCGGTCTAGTTATTCACTGAACTCTTCCTGGTTCTTTTTCCACCACAAATTCAGAGAAATGCAAACAATCATAAGCTAGGAACTGATTAGGGAATCTGCACGTCTTGTTTTCTCACACCAATCCTGAACCTCAGCTTTAACAACAGCGTCCACGTAGAATTTCTTTCTTTCTGAGTCTCAGCCTTGACAACCCTCCCACTTTCTTGATTCTTCTCAAAGTGGGAGATCTGACAGCTGCCCAGGGCCCCAGTTTATGGCTGGCAGCCTTCTTGGCCAGATCTCTTAGGCAGCCTGCAAGGATGCCAAGCTCTGCCCCTGGGCTCCTGATTCCCTCCACGTCACCAGGCCACTTGTAAGACCTGCTCACATACACCACTTGTGAGAGCTGTTCTGGCTTTGCCACACTAACTTGGGTGCTGTCTTTCTCCAGCTTTCTGCTTCCTCCCCAAGTCCTGCCTAGAACTGCCCAAACATTCCCTCTAGACCTCTCCCATCCCCTCTGAGGGTGATGCCAGCTCCCCAGCTGTCCTCATCTGCCCAGCTGGGTACCACCCTGAAGTTATGAGCAAGATCTCAGCACAAGATGTATAGTCAGTGGGATGGGCATACGTGGCTGTGAC